ACCTAGATTTCAAGTAATTTATATTTGGTTTAATAATATAATTTTTTTTATAAAGATAATAGTTAATTATTTTATTAGAACTCAATAACTATCTTAATTATATTTTAGATTTTCTCTATTTGATTATGTTTATCCGCAGTTAGTTACACAAATTCAAACATGGAGCTTTAATAAGTTGTACTTAACACAATTTACTTGTAATCTTGAATGCTAAGTAATATGCATCAATAAACAGTACTTCATGCATAAAAAATATTTATAAGAGTTTTTGCCAAATGATTTATAAGAGTCGAGAATCTTATCTGGTAAGAATCATAGCAACGATAAAAAATCTTACCCGATAAATAAAGGAAAAAGACTTTTACTCAATAAACAATTACTGGATAAAACAAACTTACCAACAATCCATTTTAACGATCGAAAACGTTAGTATGTTACCCAATAAGATAATTAAAAGTGGTGACTTTTGCTGAGAGTTTGATAAACAATTCCCTATTTTTATTCAAAAAAATAATAATAAAATCTATTTTTCTCATTGACTTAACAAAGATAGTGGATGATTGTTACAGTGAAAACCTTCGAGATTTTCTATAATAAAAGAAAGTTGAGATATCAATTCCATAATTCTTACCAAATTTTATGAACCAAATCCGTGATTGACTCTTTAACTTTTTCTAATTACACACAAGAAAACTGGGATCTCATTTGTCAATTTTTGTTTTATGTTTTCACACTTATATTCCATGTGAACTTGATATAAGACAATCTTTTAACACATGTCCGTGTTTTGCATAAACCAAACTCAAAGTATCAGATTTTATAGACAAAACTTACAGATTATAAATTTAATGGGTTTTTTGTTCTAAATAAACGTCATGAACCAAATCTATAGAAAAAAAAACCCTAGACCATACGGACCAAATCCATATAACAGGCACATTTGATGATATATGTAAGAACTGATTCATATAGAATTAAAGTTCTGGTAGAATCACCCTTAACAAACTTCCTTTTTCCCCCCCATGTTGCCACACAGAAGACATGGGGACGTAAAAAGAGAGATTCTATCAACTTGTTCCGACCTGAGATAATAAACTCATAAGCTAAAGGTTGTAATCTAAAGAGTCACACGTCGATATCTTGCTTGTTATATTTTGAAGTTTGTGGAACATAGGTAATAATAACAAATTTGGTAAATCTCAAACACGTCTTCAAGAATTTGACAGAAAGTCATTAAAATTAACAGTTGGTTGATAATTTTGTTATGACAAATGTCAAACTAGCGGTGGGACTGTGCAAGGTGTCCAACACCCGTCCCTCCTTTAACCCACGTACAACACAAGCAAACATCACTCTCCGTTTGCAAAAGACAGATTGTATGAGAGTTTTAATTTTACACTGTCATGATAATAAAAAAAAAATTACAAATCATGAGACTTTGTATTTATTTTGATTCCTAAAACTTGATTACTAGTTATTAAAACTGGACCAACAAATTACAACATAAAAATATATTGATTTTTCGTATCATTAACTCGTGGGATTGGGGTGTCATTAAAAGCAACATGCCAAACATATATCCTATGAAATCTTCACTCGTAAGCATATATGCTGTCGGGTCCAGAGGACATTTAAAGATTATGTATTAATTTTTTTTAATGTAAATTATATTTTAATAAATTTGATCTTTAAAATAAAAGTATAATTAAATTGCATATTCGCTTCGTTTTATAGATTTTTCTGTTCCATATAACTTCTAAATTTCTTAGAAAAAAACCTATAAAATAATACTGATAAGATCTCAAATTGGACCAAATAGCCTTTGACTTAGCAGTATCGTAGTCTTTGACCTCTTAAATAGATGACAAGGGTATGTGAGTTTACTTGTTGCATTTACCGTATATAAATATTATATACTTCAAAATCTTAAATTAGTTACGTGTTTTAAAACCGTGAGTCTATAGAACGGACAATATCTGGTACGATTAATCTATTCTTTTATTTCAAATAATCAATTTGATGAGTTTACTCATCGTTGGAAAGTTGAAATGATGCGATTATAAGAAATCAATAACGAATTGAGCTCCATGAAAGAATCTGAAGTTTCTCAAAGGAATAACTGTGAGATTAGAAGTGAAATCATGAAGTGGAAAGCATGATACGAATAAAGCTACACAAGGTACAACTCCACTGAGCTTTTTGCCATGGAGATGATGACACAGGACCATATAGGAATAGGAGGAGAGTTCTATTTTACTTTTTGAAAGGATCTAAAAGCTAAATTCAAATTTAAACTTATGAATTTGAGCAAAACAAGCGGAAAAACTGGAACCACACAATTTCATGTTTCAAATTCAAACGAATCTAAGAACGAATTCGGTAAGAACATGATATGAATATCAAATACTGTTAACATCAACACATTCCAGCATTATCGTAATAATTATGTCCAAATCCATAGATTAAAACCATTAAAATCACCAACTGAATTTTATAGATCTAACGAACTCAAATAGAATTACAAATAGAAGAGCTACCTTCCTCCCTCTCTCTCTTCCTTCTATCTCCATGAGATAGACAGAAGAAAAGAGAAAGTGAAAAGGTGTATGTATAGTAACAATAGATAATCAAATCATACAGGATAAAGTAGAAATCGATTAGAAGAGGAAAGCGAAAACGATTGCGGATAGAGAGGCGACGGCGGTGGGGATAACGACGGTTGTAGCGCCGGAAGTAGGTGCAGGAGCAGGGGCATCTGTAGCGGAGACGGAGATGGCTGAGACGGCCATCATCATCACCACCATTACTGCGAAAAGCTTCATCATCTTCATTGCCTCCATGAATGAGCTCTGCAATTCAAATCTCGATGAGAATGTGAATAGTTTTGCGAGTGCAGAGAGTGGGGAACAGAAGGGTTGAAGCGTTGGGTTTTATAGAGGAGGGTTTTCAAGACATGGGTACAACCAGAAGAGGTGGTCCTCCAATAAGTAAAGAATGGCTGCCCGCTGCCCGCTGCCTGCTGCCCGCTGTTTTGGAATCTCTTTGACAGAGTGTTGGGTGGGGGGGTAAAATTGGTGAAAAAAATCCTGCAGCTATCTTTCTCAGTTTCATGTTTTTATTTTTTTTGTTTTAAAAAAAAATAATTTGTATTTTAATTTATGTTGAAATACTTTTTCTAATAAGACAAGTCTCTTTGTTAACAGTTTAATAAATTTAATATAACTTACATACCATAAGTTATTCGGTCAGTTATACATAACTGTTTGGAAGTGACTTAATGATATATAATTGACTTATTTAATAAGTTTTTAGGAGGAACTTATGCAAAAAACATGTTTTTTTTCAAACATAATAAAACGAGGTTAAAACGTGTCGGTTTTGAAGCTGATATCATAGAAAATATGAGATATATTACCGTTTTTTCCTAACTACCTTTCAACGAGTGGGATATCATAAAACCCCTTAATGTCTTAATCATTTTCTCTTTGGTTCTAACTTTTACCCAACTAATCTAACGGTATTCGAATCAATTAAACCTTTCGATCATGTATCCAACTTTCCTTCATACCTAAACGTATTGTCGTATTCCATTTCGAACCAATCTGGTATAAATGCTTCAACGAACTTTTTCCAACAACATGAATCTGTAATGCTTTAAAAACATTCTCAAACTGATACCCTGATTGCGTTTTAAAAAAAACAGACACAGACATAGACATTATTCATCCATAGATGGTATAAATGCATTATAAACACAAAAATAGCTTAATGGCAAAGACATTCCTTTAAGTGGCATATAAAAATGGCAAAAAGTGGTTTGAAATGATGGGCCAAAGTTGGTTCCTTTTAAAAGTGAGACTTTTTATCAAGAAATAATGGTTTAAGAAGGGGGTTTTTTGTCCTTGTTGCTTCTCTTTATGTTGATTACTTCATGTGAAATCACTTCTCCTTTTGGAGTCCACATTGTTAGGTTTCAATACCCAACTTATGATTAATTATACAGACACATGTTTTCTTTACAACTCACATTCGCTACTATTTTTGTGTTGCTTCTAGAATTGGCAACACATTCTGAGATATTATCATTTAAAAAATGGGTTGTCGTTATTTCAAGATTCGTGGTCTGATGATTGTTTCATAAGAAGTCGAATCATATGATCGTATTGGCATATTTTGGTCTTCTTAGTCCAAACGGGGTTTTCATGGCATGTTTTGGTTTAATAGTTAGGGGTTGTTTGGTTGGTTTTCTATTAAGTTATATATATACAGTTGTTTGTTTGTATAGGTTGGGAAGCTTTTAGTATGTTTTTTTAGTTAGAAGAGACACGTTAGGAAAAAGATTGGTTGTCTACATAAAATTACCCCCTAAAAGCTTACTGGATAAATTATTATTACACCACTATCAAACAGTCATGCATGGCCAACCGAATAAGTTGTTTGTCTTATTAAGCTCATTAATGTGCTAACCAGCATACCGTTAGACTAGGACTGAATAGTCGAGTGAGAAAAAAAATGCATTTTTGAAACAAAAATAAGGGAGATGCATAATTTTAGTAAATTACCAAATTACCCTGGATTCATTTGGTTTGATTTTTTTAGTCCACACAGATCCCAAAAACATGAAAGATGAAGGAGAACAGATGAATATATATTTCTCATTTCAATAAACAGAAGTCAACATGTACATGATGATTACTAAAAATCAAAAAGGAAATGAAGTCAAGTGCCAAGCTCCTCCACTAAACCACTCTTCAAAACTGCAGTTGGCCACCATTGAAACACCCCCTGTTGTTACCTGTATACCTAACTCAATTTTCCTATCTCTTTTCCTATTTCATTTACATGATTCATTACATTCCCTATATTCTTACAGCATCAATTACCCCTGAAAATTCCGTTTTTACCGCACCCTGCAAACCTCCCGTTAAACCACCATACCATTTCCGTAGATCTGGATTTAGAATGGCAGCAGTCGGAATGCAAAATCTGGAACTCCAGGTGGGCCATTTGTATGACATTTGATCAATCTTGATCAAGAATGGCATCGTTTACTATGGTTGCGATCCACCAGGTGGGTTCACGGGTTCGGAAAAAAGCAAGCAGCCGAACATATGGATTAGATCCCGATTGCGTGATGTTGAACCAAAATGGCTGCGGAATTGCAGTCTATAGAGCTTCAAGGGTGATGGATGCTTTGGTGAATACAGAAAGAACAAAGGGTGCTTCTTCTCCAGGGTGTATTGTTGTTGGTACTATTGTGTAGCCTCGAGGATCGGGCTCTAACACCATCTCGCATGATATTTCTCGAGAATTCACGTAATCTGTCCCGCCAACCGATTCATGTAAATAGATGTTGTAAGCAGCACGACGACCACGAGTCTTGATTATCCTCATCCCGATGTAGAACATCATCGAATCGTGACTAGATTGATAGTTTCTGAACCCAGCTGTTGTTCTCGAGAAACTCACCCCCTACAAACACGTGATCAACTCAATTACGATCCTGATGAACGTTAATTTGCTTAAAACTGGTTTAAAAACGAGCATGTACCTGAGTCAAGGTTATGAACACATGTATGGGACATGATGCATCAGAACCAGTGGCTCTCACTCTGAATTGCGGGTTCTGGTGCCATGTATCGTAATCTTGGCATCCACCAGCACTGTAACCTCGCCATTGCCCGTGGACCGAGTATCGCATCTCGGGAGGGTACACACGGCAAACATATATTGACCGGAAGTGAATCTGGAAATCTTGCCAAGACATCCAAAATATACCATCTTTTGCCTGCTTCAAAGAAATGTAGATGGTAAATGACGTTTATAAATATATTGTTAGTCCGTATGGATTGTAAATTACCCGGGGGATATGCTTAAGCTTGTGCTTCATCCGGTCAGTCCATTCAGGTGATGAATCGGACCAAGGACCGTTCCATTCGACCTCGTTTGCCCATGGATTTCGAATTTGAACGAGTTTGTGGCCGTCCACTTCTCGAACCTGCAGCAATGAGTAAGCATGGCCTTGAACGATGCCACTGGAAGATATATGCACATCCGAACCAGATGGACTTCCGGCACCTAATAAGAATCCTTCTTGTTTAAAGCGTAATAACTGAGACCATAATCTTCCGCTAGCAAGATCGATCTGGGCCTGGGCACTTCTCATATCGATCTCCTCACCCGCACCTCCCGTGAGGTCAACAAGTGCATCTTGGACCAGTCCTCCTTCTAATGCCTCATAGGAGCCGTGAAGCTTGGCATACGCTTTTTCTAATAAAGAAACCCATAGTTCGTTCCCTTTCTTACTGGTGGCAAAAGCTGGTTTTCCGGGCGATTCGCACGGAATCCAGTCGTCAACAACAACGGGAACCCATTCCCCCTTCAATAAGAATACACAAAGGTTATTAACAGCAATAAAATCAGCTATAGAATCTGCTAGTTGGTTGGACTGCAGTACCTGAATACAGAATCGGACGGTGTAGATTCCTTCCTCGTTATATTCTGGCGTGATTATAACTTCTGATATCCGCGAAACCTCGGTCAGGACAGCAACAGCACTCAAAAACCAACAATCACCCAACCGCCCCTGTTCGAAAGCAATCAAACCACTCAAAAGAGGAACACGGAAAAACTAAATGACCGCTGCCAAATAACATACCTGACAAACATCAGAAGGATTTGCATCCCCGGAAAATAAGCATGGAGAAGAACCCAGCTGGTTTTCGGTCACGATTTCAGTTGGTTTCATCCATCTCGATACAACCTGAAATCAGAGCGTGAATTCGTGAATCGTGATCAATGAACTTAAAAATGCAATATTCCAAGAAAAAAAAACAAATCTAATGCGAAAAAATAGCACTACCTGCAACTTAGAAGGGGGGTTATCAGGGTCGACAAACAACGAACGATCATTTGGAGGAAATTCTTGATCAGTGAAGTGTGCTTCTCCTTTGGCCAAGAGGTTTTCCTTCACGGCCAGTTCAACTGATAGCATTCTTTGGATGATTTCTTCATGGGTTTCCATTCTCGGTTTTCTTAACCTTCTTGCAAAAGAATCCATATCCACAACCACTCCTTCGCGTTCTGATCTTCTTTTCCTGCCACTAGAATACTGACCATCCCAATCTACATCATCTCTATCATATAGATCTACTTCAGCAGGATCGCTGTCCCATTCATCAACCTAACCAAAAAACATACAAACACAGTTATAATATGAAGATAAAGTATCGGTATGCATTAATGTATAAAAAGTGAAGGGTTAAGTAATAAAGATACCGACCCTAGGAGGAGAATCTGTCCATTGCCAATTGTCTTCAGGGAGATCGAGCATATTGTAGACAGTGGAACCCATGGCAGCAGGAAGGGCAGAAATTTCATCTTCTAACAAGCATCTTCCCCAAAGGAAAAGATCCATTATGTGCATTTTGGATTCTGCACCTTCACTATCGGATCTCCCAAATGCATCCACATCCGTTGGTGGTCTCACACCAACCCACACTTCTGTTCCCTGCTCCCAAATGCCATTTCCCAAACGCAATGGTAATCCCGTTTGATACCCATCAAAACCACCATCTAAGTAGCAAGTTGCCTCTCCTAAATCAGCATCAATGGTCACTGTAACAGTATGCCACCTGCAATTTAACTAGTTCAGTCTTTCTATTATCGTTTACAAGAATGGGTACAAGAAGTTATACCTTCCATCGGCAATACAAGCTGCACCGATATTCCACTCTTTTGAAACAGTGGTTTGTCGGTCTCCTTTGGTTATTAGCCGAAGCCCCACTTGTCCAGCCTCTATTCCTTGCTCAGAACCAGCAACGAGAATCTCCCAGCACACTTGTTTCTGAAACTCGGTGCCCAGCAGACAAACTGGCCCGGACTCGGGTTGGATCATAACCGCCATCGAAAAACTAACCTTTTGACTCAGACAAATAGTGGGATCTAGCCGCCCACAGTATCTCCCACTTGTTACTGGTTCATCATCAAGAACACACACAGCACCAGAGATTCCCGTCTGCCAAATAACAATGCTATCAGATGTCAAATGAAAATCTTGATTCATGAATTTAAGTGCAATAAGAAACCAACTGTAGCAACCTCCACAACGTTATCACGGATATTACCTGGAGCGCACGACGAGCTAACTGAGTGGCACGAATTCGCCGAGCTATGCTTGAAACTCTTTCACGTGCAAAAGAATCGTCAAGAACTGAATCACCTCCTACCGCACGTACGGCAGCAGACATGGCGGCTGCCTCCCGGCTTCCAGCATTTGGAATAGATGATATGAGGGTAGCTTCTATCTCCTTCCATTTACGTTCTTCCTTTTCCAAAAGAGCTTTCCTTCTTTCTTTACCCCTCCCTTCCTCTTCACGTCTCTGCATCAAGATTTCCTCTTCCATCTCCTTTTCTCTTATATAACTACACACTCAAAATAAACAGTATCAGACTGAATAGTTCTTCCAACTTCAAGATGATGAAGAAATTCAGATCCTTACCTCTCCTGTATAATTTCAAACTGCCTACGGTCTTCCGGCATCCACTTCTTGATCTTTTTGGCACTTAGATCCGAAAAACCGATGCTGTCAAGAAAGAGTCTTAAGCGAACCTCATCCTGACATGCAAGAAAAAATGTTAACTTTAAGAAAATAAATCCCCGGCTTTAAACCAAAGGCGATTGAATCATCTTTCACCTGTACACGTTCAGCCTTGGCGGTCAAACCAAGCAAAAGAAGTAGATAACCACCAAATTTATCCCACATGTAGACCCATTCTGTATCGATTGCTTCTTCTAAAGCTAGAATCCGAGCATGCGCACACATTTCTCTTCTATAGCCTACGTCGTTGGTCGAATCATGCTGAAACAATATCCCATGTTTTATCTTGCGAATAATCGATCCTGCAGCTAGTTCTTCGTTTTTCAGGCGGTCTCTTAATTTCATGACATCTGCTCTAGGAAGCACAAAATTTCCTGCCCTATCACGCATAACAGTAGGGTCGCCGACTAAAAGAGCCGCCGAACTAGCAGACCTCTGAGGAGCTGAATAAGTTCCTGCTAGAGCATTTCTTGTCTGCATTGAAAAAATAAAACAAGCTCATATATACAAATCAAAGAAAATGGTTATCTTTTTCTTAGCTAGCCTTTAAATCTGATTAAATCTTGAAATATACCTTGGTGGCAGATCGAGCAATTGCCTGAATGACAGTGTCTTTACTGAGAAAGTGTACAGCATCTTCCATCATCTGTTAATGGGGAGTTCAGAAACAGTATTAACAAAAAAAGATGTAAAAAAAGGTTTCAAGTCCTTCCACATTAAGTTTTAATGTGGTTTAAGCAGAAAGCGAAGTCCAAATTTCTGTCATTCGATTACAATTCAGAAACAAACCTCGAGAGTCAAACACGGCCGAGAAACAGCAAACCCAAATGCTACAACAAGTGTAACTGCTGATACAGCTGCTCCAGCAAATGGTGGATAAATTACTAAGCTTGCAACAACACCCCAGCCTTCAATTGCCAACGCAATCCCATAAAGGACAATGAAAGCTACACTGTTGATGAATGGAGAAAAATATGGGACTTAATCAAAAGAAAAGCATTTAAAAGGTCGGATTAGAGACTCAAACAAACCTGACGTTTTTCCCACAATCTGCATGAGCATCATAAACATATACAGGCAGCACTCGTGGAGAATATACTACTATGGGAGGTGAAAGAAGCACCTGTGGAAGGTAATTCTTCATAAGAGAGCTTATTGTATTTGAAACTTATGACATCAAGTTATGACACCTACTAAAGCAAAGAAGAAATCAGAAAAGGTTTAAAACGTTATGATGATTGTATATGACTTACCGTCAATGCCCTGCCAGCCAGAAGGAACAAAAATGAGAAGTAACCAACAGAGGCTCCAACGAAAGATCTATCTGTAGTACGATATAAGATGCATTATGTCTTTTTCTAAAGATGTATAGAAAGAACTACCCAAAAAGATAAAAGTAAACCAAATTGGGAAGTGGGATTTTTCCCCTGACCATTTAAGAGATAGAAGATTTATGAGAAAGATGTTTTCTTTTACCTTGGTGCCATCCGACGATGAATGCAGCCAGGGCCAGTAGAAACGCCAAGAACGAAACAACAAACATTTGCATTCTAGTCAAGTAAAAGTTGTTTGAAGCCCAGAAGTGGATGATACCAATAGCTAGAACGATGAGGAGGAGAAGTAAAAGGAACGATGCCCCTATCTGTTGCCATGCAAAGCAAAGATTCAAGTTACTATAATGCTATAACACACAAAGCTAACCAAGTAAATATTTAAAACTTGGTATTACCGTCCATGGTTCAATTATGACTATAATGGCTGATATCGCACTAAGAAGAAGAAGAAGACCAATGATGACAAACACGTAAGCACCTCGTGAAAGCCTCCAGTTATCATCCTTCCTGCAAGTGATTTTCCATGGCATAAATCAATCAATTAGCAATTTTTATGATTCACTATAACCGGGAGATCATAATTTTATAAATATGAGAGATCATTTACCATTTAAGCAAACCAGAGCAAAGTGATAGCAAAGCTGGGATGCACACCAAGGGAAGTAATGCAGCTAGAAAATCAGTCTTTTCAGGGACCTCGTCATCCCTCGAGCTCACAACCTCGAGATATGATGCACCACAAAATGCCACCAGGACAACTAGAAAAATGGCAGATCAATAAATATTTGTTTGGTTCCATAATATAGTTGTTTCTTCGTTATTATCCGTCAACTTGGTATTACCTGAAAATATGGCTACACATATAGCTGAAGATACAGTGAATCGGTATGTGGCAAACCAGGATGCAATTGGTAGCAGGCCTGTAACTATGAGAGCAACTACAGAAGCCATTGCCCAGCCAAGGTAAACAGATGATGCATATGGAGACTTGATGCTGTTCTGACCACCAGCCCATCCCTTGTAGCCTAAATCCTCCAAAGGCTTTGCAGAGACTATTGCACCAAGAGCTAATACCGATCCAACGAATATTGATATGCAGATGGAAAGAACAACTCCCTGATAACAGTTTGCAGCAAGCCAATCAGAAATAAAGCAGTTTAACATATATGAACATTAAGGTATGGAGGGAGGTTCAGGGGAAAACCCCCAAAAAATGAAAAATTGAGGAACACTCTAGCATTCATCTGAATGGTATGCACATGTGCATACAAGTAATTGAAGTTGTTTCTTGGGTTTTATACACATTATGCACATGCGCATACCGGGCAAATTGGTTACCAATTACTTGTATGCACATGTGCATATCGTCCACATGAATGGTTACCAAGGTGTTCCTCAGTTTTTTTTTTTTTTTTTTGCGGTTTTCCCCTGAACCTGACCCTTAAGGTATGTGAATATTATGTCCTAACTTTTCACAGAACAAGAAGTCTGCTATAAAATAGTTTCAATTTTTAAATAATAAAAAAAGATGCCAGATAGGTTGATAACAAACCTCTTTCATCCAGAGAGTCTGATAATTTCCTACTGGACCTCCATAATCTACTCTTGATACCCAAAATCGATAGCCATTACGTATCCAAATAGGAATGGCGACAGAAAGGCATGCTACCATGAGTGGAACTGTCAAAGACAATCCAAGAAGAACGGACGACTTGCTGCAGAAATATAGTGTATTATTAATAATCAGTTAAAGACGAGGTGGATAAGCTGATGAAAACGAAAAGAATACATGCAACATCGTGGGAATCCATTTGTTTGAAAGTTCCTTGCTTTCAAGATGACTCCCCTAAGAAGCTTTAAAAAACGATCGTACCTCAAGAAGGAAAGCAGCAAACCAACACAAGTGCTCAGTAGCCAAGCGATAAATCCGTACTGAAAACCGTAACATATCTCAGAGAAAATCCATAAGTGATGATGTCTACAAGAGAAAAAGTTGGTAGATCATGTACCTTTCGGGGTTTTGAAGTCATCACCATGTCTTCAGCTTGTAGTGACCGAAGGAAAGCCATGATAGAACAGATAACGAGTGATAATAGCAGCACTGCACAACCGAATTCAAACTGCATACATTTGGCAGATTAGAACTCCAGCACATTAAAGAGACGAGGATAGGCTGAAGTAATCTGTATAGAGATTTTGGATGCAAACATTTGAACTAAGAAAGAACTAAAAGAAAGAAATCTGCCGTTCATACCTGTTGATGTGTTGCACCGATGACTTCAACTGTTTTCGGGCGAAACTGGCCCACAATGACGGTTTCGACGATGAAGACAAAACTGAAGAGGACCCATGCTCGCTCTGGTGTACCAGCTATGTGATGCAAAAGCAATCTGAAAATTCGAAGCCACTTTTCCAGTCCACGAATCCTAAGTTCCTCAGACAAGGAAATTTGATTAGGCAAAGCATTGTCAACACCATTTGAGTCGGTAATCATAATATCAGTATTGTCACGATGGTCTCTATCTGCATCCAGACTACTCCTCTGCAACAATGCAAGGATCGTTGGATCCAATCCATTTTCTTTCAACATAACAGCAAAATTCGGATCTAACCCTTTATCTTGCAACAAATTCGTCAACTCAATATCTCCTTGTCTTGCTCTCCTCTTCAACAGAGATGTAATTCTTGGATCGTTAAACTTTTCTTGGAATGCCAAAGCTAAATTTAAGTCGAGCGTCTGTTGATTTGCTGACATAGATTCATTAGACTCGCAACCTTGGCTCTCGAGCCCACTACTTGAACAGACTACCAAACCGCCATTCTGATCAAAATTTCTCTCAGGGTATGATGATGGTCCTACAGCAGCCTCTTGAACAACCGACCGGCAGGAACTACTGCGTAGAGCTAAACTAGGCCTTCCACTATCTAAGCTCTTCTCACTGTTAATCCCCTCCACATGGTTCCAGCTGTTAGGATCACCCATGCAATGCACACTATTGCCAAGGTGACCAGTCTCGGCACTACTACTACGTTTAACACTTGAGCCACAACCTTCAGACGAGCTAGATGAACTGTTTTGTTCTTTTCTACGAAAACCCTCTCGTAGACGAATCACCGTACTCTGCAACGCGTCTCTTCTTGCAGCTAGTGGATTAGTGACGGATAAGTGACGGGTAACAGCAGCACCCAGTAAGACGGACCCCACCACTGCATAACTGATACAGTGCCCAAGATACCTAACAATTACCAAGAAATAACTTGTGATGATTATACACAGAGAGGGGGAGAAGACGAATCTACGGATTAAAGAACAGGAACAGACCAGTAGTGAACTCCAAAGCATATCAGGAAGACACGAGATGTGCCGGCAACAAAAAGAGCAATAACACGACTTTGAAGAAGCTCAAACCCGTATAAACAGGCCCCCATGTTCCAATCTAAGAAATCAAATTCAATGGTGTCAAAACATCATGAAGCAGACAGAAATCAAGACATGCCATAAGCAGCCCTGAGAAATTACCAATCACATAGCATCAGGTTAATATATACCAAGAATTATAACGGCAGCTGATGTAATAGCCCCAAGCCAATTTGACTCCTTTGCTGTTAAACCATACAATATAGAATATACAAGAAGTACAAGAAGCGACCCAAGATAAAGAAGCCCAAGGTGTGACACTCTGCAATAAACATCAAAGTTTTTAGAGAAAGAAATGTAAAAAAGATTCATAAATATGCTTCTTTTACTGAACAAACTATACATCTTATAAGAAAGAGAAAAGGGTACTTGCCTTCTAGACTGTCTAGGATATAAGTCATTTGGATCTGGTGGTTCGGGTAAACATGCAACTGGACCGACTTCAATACAGTCAGAATAAGCAAACTTGTAAGCACTTCGGACATATTCATCTACATCCAAACCGTTGCCTGTAAGGATCCACAGCCAAAATACAATGAAGAAGTCAAGCATCAAAAGATGAGACCAGATTTAAAAATCACAGTAACTGATGTACCTAAAATCAATTAAATGCCTGATGAGTAAAAATTCCTCGAGAAGAAAGAATAGCTCACAACCTACCATTAAAGACCATTCTACAAATGAAGAGCATGTTGATTGCTAAAGCAATTGCTGAGACCCCAAAGAAGAAGCCTGAAGGTGAATATCGTTGTGGAGCAGTTGAACCAGCTGTGACATAAACTGCACACAGTTCATATGCACAGAGCAGTGCAACAGCCAGAAGAAGAAGAACAGCAACAGCCCCTACTCAAGAAGAGAAGAGACATCAACCACAAGATAAATGGAGCAACTTAAATCATTTCTACTGTTCCATATCGTTTAAAAATGCACGATGTTGTAAGCAGAAAAAAGAACCACAATGAGTGCAATTGAAAATCAATTATGTCTAAATACACATGCAAGCTACAAATCCTGCAACCCTTTAAAGAAAATTATAATAAATCCTGCATCAGCAAACTTAGTGTAGCAACAATAATCAATCCTTTAATTCCTTCCATATGAAATGTGATGATGGCTAATAACCCCCATTGCTCTTGGATGATCATGGATGTGTATAGAAACCATGCAGAGAATTTAAACATCCACGTGAATTAACAATTTAATATGGATGTTTTCTTTTCTTTGGATTATTGAATAAGGAGGGAGTGTAGCTAAATAACACTTTACATCATACATATGATGGTAACATGTGTAAAACTAAAAGAACTTAATCAAGAATTACATACTTGAGCTCTGCCATTGTGTTCTCCACCAGAGCATGATTGAATAGAATGCCAAGAGAAGAGCTGTTCCAGCCATAATGACAGCCAAACCAATAATATCTCGACCAAGTATCAAAATTAACCAACATCCCCATGTTATAAGAACTACAATAGGAGAAATGACAGCCAGCCATGCACAAAACGACAGGAAACCACATAATATTCCCAGCTGAGGCCCTTGTAAGAAACTTGGCCACTTTCTAGCAAAGATCCAACTGTGCAAACACAGAACAAGCATAGCAACAATAACAACAAGTGTCAGGTAATAACCTAAATCAACTATGATTACATAAAGCAGTAAAAAATGCATGTCAAAAGAACAAACTGATTGCATAAAGCAGTAAAAATTGCATGTCAAAAGAACAAACTGATTGCATAAAGCAGTAAAAAATGCATGTCAAAAGAACAAACTGATTGCATAAAGCAGTAAAAAWTGCATGTCAAAAGAACAAACTGATTGCATAAAGCAGTAAAAAATGCATGTCAAACGAAGACGTTATAGAGACCTAGGGGAGGTAAAGTGATCTATCATTTCACCATCTGTTGGAAAATAAACGAGCACCATCCAACATACAAAATAAAGGGAAAGAGAAGAGAGGGTACCACTTCAAAACAGAACTGTATGTTTGCAATGACTCATCTACAAAGTCGGATCATAATCAAGCAAGTCTTTTTTATTGCAAAATGGCATAGGATAGATTAAAAATGGAACACATCATAAAACAAAAACAAAAACCAATAAAGGCTATAAAACATGAATAGAACCCTTCCAGGGCACCATCCTCCTACCTAAAACTTGATATGTGCAGCTATTTTATGAGCCTTGATTACCTCCCCCCATGTTTGTATTGGTCTGCCCTACTTTGTACCAGCATATGCCAAGGTCAACACCAAGTGATATAGCCTTAGTTGCTTCAGCCGCCCTCACCGAAACTTATTGCACACATTCTGAGTGTAATACGCACATTATGTCAAGTCCCATGAGTGGTCATTTAAGGCTCAATGGACAAGAGAGCCTCTCAAAATCTAGACATAAAAGAAGTGAGCACGGGTGAATATGGATAAGACACATCATGCAAAAGGGATTGGTTTTGCACTTTTTGCTTCACTTCTCTTGAGCAGTAGACCATATGCCACATTATGCAAAAACTAGATGGACTATATGTTAACACCGTTCTGCATGAGTTCATCAACTAACATGTGGCCCACCACCCAAATGGAGATGAAAAGTTGTAGAAAACAAGATTTTGAGTCTTAGATTCTTAGTATATAAGAAACCATCCAAGCAGTCTTATATCGTCTCCTTATTTGGTGCTTGCACATTAGGTTGAACAAGTAACCCGATATGCATAATCATGGGAACAACTCATCATTGTCATCTTGTCTATCCATAGTCCCTACCATCTCATAGCCTCGTTGTGCACCCAATAATGCCAAAGCATGCAGTCTTAGCCCAAGTCCAGCTAGTTGAATTGGGTAGCCAGAGATAAATTGAAGCATTATGGTGGACATTTACTTGTTCCGTCATTTTTTCACTTATTTCCAGAACAGTGGAGTGTTTTCTTAGTACTACCAAACTGACTACCAGCCTGGACAGGAATAATAATTCCAAAACAAATTTCTGACTGTTTGTGCTTCATGTATATTCACATTTTTTGGTTCATTTCGTGGTAGTTAGTTCCACGAAACACCAGCTTTCCAAACAGATGCTTCTCTTGAAAATTACTGCATTTAATGTGCACTTCAATCAACATGTCACGGTATGCGAATCTCTATAAATCGGTTCTCGTTCATTTTATATAGACTTCTACAGTTTTCAAACAACTAAGGAAACCTATTTATGACGGCACTTGTTCGACTATTTTGTGTTCCTGTAGAGTTCAAAATTATAAAGGAAACAAGAAAATTTCCACGTTTTGATAGTTTTAAATCATTCATTAAAGATGTAACTAAACCCAAAATCTTATTAAAGCTTACGGAAGTCTACATTAATGACTCGGCGCATATTATTCTCAAGTCCCCTACTCTTTTCTTCTTTTGAATCAGTAAATAAGCACACCAACTTACAGGTCTAAGTATGTTCTTGAGAAAACCTTTGCTCCATTAACAACTTCAGTCATGTTAATCTCAAGTCCTCTAAGTATGAGTAAGCATATGATAGGTTCAAAACCTGACTATTTTCTATATCATCAAGAATAAGTTCCATTTAATTGGGAAATGCAACCAAAGATTTAGTCTCATGCACAACTCATGTGTCACCATAGTGAGAGAGTGATGAAGCTCAAAACTAATAAAGAAACAGTAGCTAAAAGCTTAAAGCAAGCTATTGCATTCCCCCATTGCTTCAAATAAAGAAACTCAAAACCATAAAAATTGTCAACACGACGAGAAGTAGTGTAGAAGTACCTATATATCCGCCATGGTCGCCAATTAACAGCCCAGAGTATCGCAAAAGAAGCCAGTCCCAAGAAAGAGAAAAGGGTCCCCGAAATTACGCATGCCAATATGACACCCCTATCATCCCCCTCCATGGCTTCTTTCCCCCTTTTCTCTCTACCCTTTCAACTACACCAAATACATCGATATAAACAAACCAATCGAAGCATATCCAACACATAATTCAAACACAGCATAAAATATAACCTAAACAATACATATAGTCACTCCGAAACCAAATAGATATGCAATTGAAGCAAATACCTTACTTCACTGAACTGATTTCAACTCCCAACAACATCGTAATAACTTCCAAAGCACCAAATTGAGTTCTGAGAAACTAGGGTTTAGTTTTTTTTTTTTTCAGCTAGATACCACCACCAGATAATCAACAAAATCAACGAGTTAGGGTTTTCAAGAATGTAGCGATGGATGACAACAACAACATCAAGTTCGGATTCTTCTTCTTGTTTTTGAAACCCCTTTTCGATTTGTTAGAGCTCCTATTTACACGCAGTTTCACACTCAAACACACAGTGAAAAAAAATGAGAGCCTTTTAGCGCAATTTGAGAGAAAGAAAAGAGTAAAAGATTGGGGAGAGAGTGGATAGTGGTTTTGTAAATAATGATAAAATAACAGCAGCAGCATATGCTTGTCCCAGAGGAATTCAAGTCAACTAGCTGGAGGGTGGCGCGTGGATTACACCACCAATCAGAGACCACCGGTGATTCTTGACTGTGAATCCTATTGGTGCGTGTTTACCAGGAATAGAAACAGCGCGTGTGGAAGCAGTGTCGTGCAGACACCTTTGGTCTATTTCTACCAATTAATTACTCCCAAAGAAAACCCGGTTTTCAGGAGGATTAGTGGAAAAGTGTTGATTAAAATTCTATAAGTTGAAAAGTAGGGGGGCCCATATGAAATTTTGTCAAACTTGATGGTTGATAATTGAAATTTTCAGTTTTTAATTATTGGGTTCGAATTGGACTTTAGGGTTTCAGGTTTCAAGCCCAGTGGGCTGAGTCTAAGGCACATATTATTCAATAAAATCTAGGCTGAGGCCCGATTATTGGGCTTTTTATTTTAATAATTTATATGTCGAAAAATCACCAATAAGTAAGAGGCTTTTTGGTAGTTGTTGAATGATTTGGTGCAAAATGATTAAGAGACTTTTATGATATAGTGTAAAATAAAATATAATTGTTTGGTAATTGTTTACAATGAAATTAGGTCGCTTAATGGTTAAAGGAGGCCATAATACAAAATCATTCAGAGGGTCGCTTACAATGGAAATTAGGTCGCTTAATGGTTAAAAGGCATATTATTTTTTTTTGTTAAACAAGATTCATCTCTTAACAAACACTCGCTAAGCCCCTATTGAATAGGACGTGTAAGTCAACTATATCCGAAGAACGAGCTGACGTGCCCATCATTTCCAAATGCTGGTGTCGAAAGAAAGGCTTAGGATAGCTAATGACAGGGAGAGGGTGAATGAAAGGTATCCAAATGCTGGTGTCGAAAGAAAGGCTTAGGATAGCTAATGACAGGGAGAGGGTGAATGAAAGGTATCCAAATGCTGGTGTCGAAAGAAAGGCTTAGGATAGCTAATGACTGCCTGGAGTGGTGGTACCTATTATTCGTCGGCGGGGGCGGTCCGGTGATACGTAGATGATTTTTGGATTCAAATGTTGTCTCTTAATGGAACTATTAAAAGGTAAACAAACAACTCCTACCATTCACCATGGATTGATGACAATTCCTTTCTTCTCGAGCCGATATATATACCTTCAGACCGGTACTACTGTAATAACCTGGACTTGTATAATCAGGGGCGGATCTAACCTTTAAGCACGGGGGAAAAGACCCCTAGTCAAAAACCAAAAACCTTTGTTGACTAGCTTACATTTTCTATTTTCACCATCGTCTTACATGGTTTCTCCCCAGTCTCACATGGTCATATACTTTCCTTCCCCTAAGTCTCATTCAACGTACCCCCACTTTATTAATTTCGTGAATCCCGTCGGGATTTCAGTAATTTTTGCTTTGGAAATAGAAGTTAAAGAGATAATTACAGTTTTTTACCCTAAAGATGATGATGATGACATGTTCTACTCTTAAAAGTAGAACCCATGACAATTGCACCCATCATCATTTCTTTGACCAAGCCACAGAGTCCTGGTCCACTGTCAATAGGGTTTTTTACTTTCAGGTATTTGCAAGCACATTTCCTTACTAATATACTATTTAAAAATATATTTTTTTAAATAAATTTTTTGATAATTAGTAATTTTTTTGAAAGATTTTAATTTATTTTATTTTTTTTCTTCTTTGTTATTCCACATTTGAGAGGAAATTAGGGTATCTCTAACAATTATGTTATAATTTTCTATAATAAAATATAAAAAGTAAAAATCTTTTAAAAAAATTACATCCAACTTCAACATCTACTCTATTTTAGCAATTTTAACGTTAATAATATTATTAAAATATTCAGTACAGTTAATAAAATATTATTTATCTCTCGTATATATTTAGTTTAATACTTGTTATTGGTGGAAAAAAATTAGGGAAAAGTACAATAAAAATCAATGAACTTTCTTATTTGGAATGATTAAGTCCTTAAACTTTTTTTTGGAACAAATAAGTCCTTGAACATTCCAAAACATGTTAAATAAGTCCTTAGACTTTCCAAAAAATGTTAAATAAGTCCTTGGACAATTTTTGGAACAAATAAGTCCTTGAACAATCCAAAACATGTTAAATAACTTCTTGAACWTTTATAAAACATGTTTGATACATTCTTATRACTTGTACAACTAGTTAAAGTAGTAAAATAGTGAAAAAAATCCCGAAAAAACCCCAATGAACATTCATATTTTGAACGATAAAGTGGTAAAATAGTGAAAAAAATCCGGAAAAAACTCCAATGAACATTCATATTTTGAACGATAAAGTGGTAAAATAGTGAAAAAAATCCGGAAATATATTTTGTCAGTGATTTTTTAAACTAAAAAAAATAAAAAAATATATTATTTTTAATTAAAATAATGGTGAAAATCTTTTTTTTAATTATTTTAATTAAAAATAATATATTTTTTTTTATTTTTTTTAGTTTAAAAAATCACTGACAAAATATATTTTCGGATTTTTTTCACTATTTTTCCACTTTATCGTTCAAAATATGAATGTTCATTTGGGTTTTTTCCCGATTTTTTTCACTATTTTACCACTTTAACTAGTTGTACAAGTCATAAAAATATATCCAACATGTTTTATAAAAGTTCAAGAAGTTATTTAACATGTTTTGGATTGTTCAATAACTTATTTGTTCCAAAAATTATCCAATGACTTATTTAACATTTTTTGGAAAGTTCAAGGACTTATTTAACATATTTTGGAATGTCCAAGGACTTATTTGTTCCAAAAAATTGTCCAAGGACTTATTTAACATGTTTTGGAATGTCCAAGGACTTATTTGTTCCAAAAAATTGTCCAAGGACTTATTTAACTTGTTTTGGAATGTTCAAGGACTTATTTGTTCCAAAAAAAAGTTTAATGACTTAATCATTCCAAAAAAGAAAGTTCATTGGTTTTTATTGTACTTTTCCCAAAAAATTATTATTTCTTTCTTTCGTTTTATATATATATATATACTATCTTATAAAGCAAATTTAACAAAAGTCTTAAAGTCTTAAAATTCTAAATGATCAAAATATCATTTATACTTACTTTTTCACCACCTCCTCTCATCACATACACTCACACTCTCATAACCGATTTTTTTAAAATTATAATTTTAAATTTACACTTTATACCTCTATAATTAATTAATTAATTAATTTACTTTACGTCATTTACTTTTAAATGTTTTATTTTAAACATTTATCAAATTAACATACATAATCGTATATCAATTAAAACATGTTTAAAAAATACATTTTTATTTTAACAAGTTACACCATTATAATCATCTCGTTAATACATTCGAAATGAGTCCAATATTGAATAGTTTTTCACTTAATTA